AGTGAGTGGATGGACCAAAAATGATCCCTCCCAAGAAAATACATGTTTGAAATCTGGAACGAGGAAAGTAAAGTGAGCTTTATTCTTTGGTGCATGTATCTACCGGATACGGTACGAAGGCAGTGTGTGATGTCAGCCATTGTAATATTTCTGCCACGCGTTCGTCTCTTGCATCATGTAACGTTAAACCTTTCGACGCAAAGTCTGAGCCAGCCTGTTTCTAGCTCGTCTCCGGCGAGTGGAATTCTTGTCGTACCAGCTGTTTCCAGAGAACACTGCGTTTGATAAGTCGTGTTTTCTGTATTCATTAATAGTAGAACACGGTAGGGTTCATACTCGAGTTCATTCTATAAAATCTCGTCTTTGGAGAATTGAATAAGTGGAACACAATGACGAGCTCAAGAGAGACTGTGGATAAATTATGAGATGTTCGTTTTCCTGCCATCTTCTGGATGGCCTACAGTTGAATATTCTGTGCCAGGTAGTAAGTACATTGCCCCTGGATGTACGGTTTCAGAAATGCATTTTGGATGTTGTCCAATTTCGATGCAGGCGGATTATGAAGTGTGTCCGAGAGGAAAATTGACTTAACCTTGAAGCCATGATGTCATGCTGAATGCTATCTTACGCACATTTTCTCTCACTAAAAATGTTCCAACTCTCGGAGCAGTGTGGATGATATATGATACTAATGGGTACTTTACCCCATGTATGATGAGGGTCCCTCTTACCACCGCATATCTCCTCCTCAGGTTGTGGATAGAGGGACGGCCTCCAGGTAAGGAGGTTATTGAATGAGCAGTCGTGGACAGTGGTAGAGGGGGGATCCTCCAGCTTGGGGGTTGGGCGTAAAGATAACAACCTTTCACCGTAAAAAATCATTGTTACGAACACATTAAGCCTGGGAAGGCTTTGGTTAATTCGGTGATGAACCTTCGAGTTCGGTAAGCCATCTACTTGGTTGGGTCCACTATTTGGGAAGCCTGAGGGGAAGAGACCGCTGGGGAGACCTAGACGTAGATGGGAGGATAATCTCAGGCGGGATCTATGGGAGATAGGAGCTGAAGGAGACTGGATTTTGTTGGCCCAGGACAGGGTCCGGTGGAGGGCTTTGGTTAATTCGGTGATGAACCTTCGGGTTCGGCAAGCCATCTAGTTAGTTAGTTAGTTTAATATAATACATAAGCACGTCAGTAAACCCGATCCTGACAATACGACAAAAAAAATCTAAATACAGAAGAAAAGTTGTTCGTTTCATTGTCGAAACGCTGTATTCCAAAACTTAAATAATACAATTTTTTTAACAAATATCCGTATTTAATAAATTCATTATAAGCCTGATTACAAGTGGTGTCGGGCCGGATGTGGCTCGTGGGCCGCCAGTTTTATTACGATTTCCCCAAGCACAGAACTGCCCTGGAGAGAAAGGACGACGCGTTGTGTTTTGAGATTCTGCTTGGAATTCCAGCGACCGCACTTGTTATCATCACTGCTATTATCATCGGGGATGGGTGCTTTATTAGTGACTCGACAAACAAAAATTGTGTGGAACTATGGAATACTAAAAATGCAAGAATGATACGAATCACCAGAAATATATAATGACGGAGAACTGAGATTAAGCCGATGTTTCTGCACCGCGTAATAGAACGGTTGTGCGCCTGCGCAGATGGGTACTGCAGACAGTGTTTTCCATCAACTGTCCCTGAACAGTTGGGAATAGCCCAAATCTTTTCAAGCCTTCCGCTCATACTCGGTGCTGGGAACTGAATCGTTCCTTCCTTTATATATTCTTAGTTGTGGAAGATGAAGGGTATCATTGATTGATGATACTTTTTTAGCACGATAGCCTTGAGGGTGAATCAATAGTGCTTTCGCTCTTGTCAACGCCAGGGCCTCGTGGCCTTTCCTGAAGGAATGACGTCTACTCAACGGTCTTCATCGAGAGCTCGTCGTTGTTCAGGGCCTCAACGTCATTCCCTGCAGCAGAGACGCGATATGTGCGATGGTGTATTACAAAAGTGAACAGTCTGCTTGATGTCTAAGAAGCTGAGGATGACGTCAATTGCAGAATCCAAAACAAGCCCAAGATATTGCTGAAAAATTGATGATTGATGTTTTGTTTGAACGTGAATAGGCGTACAATATTACGTCTCGCCAATGGCGGTGAACCTAACCTCTCTTAAACACTAAAAAAATTATGACCTTGATGTTCAACCGATAATGGAACTTCCGGTTGAACAGATGTCAGTAGCCTTAACAATTTAGCAACTCGTGTCCTGTTACTTCTGCACTTGGCCCTAATACTGATTGTCAATTTTTAAATGATTAGATATATTTTTTGTATAAAAATGCTTGTTTTTATGACAAGTTTAATTTATTGTCTCATTAATACATATAGTTAATTGAGATTTTTACGTATATCTGTTCCGAAAGAAAAAAAACAATTACAATGTCGGTCACTTGTCTACTTTCATAAAATTTCTTCTCAAGGTCAAGGCATTTTAATAATAAAATCCAATGCTTGCGGAGAGATTTTATTTTCAAATCTTAATTTATGCTGATGGCAAACAAAACGTAACATCACAGTAAGTCTTTAGTGAGGTATACAATTGCCATCAGCAGTGTTACCAGTGACAGTAGTTGGAACTATGCTTCTTCAGCCATTCTTAAGCAATGAAACGAATACCTGAACCAAGTCTTAACTCGTTGACAAGGTTTAAGTGGGAAAACTAATTTAATTTCATCAACTAATCCTTGTACCACACTGAACAACTGTTTTTTTCATTCGGGAACAAATACCACAATAGAATCTAGCTACTCTAACTGACGTCAATAAACGTGGTTCTCCTCAGTCTCTTGAGATAAATACCTGTAAATAGGATCTGACTCTTTGCTTTCACACCCTTTCTAATCCATTATTCACTAATCATCTGATCATTTGACCTGAGATATTGACAGCGTCGTTAAATAAAACATAAATAACAAGGTATAATATTAGCATTTGATAAAGTGTTCAATAAGCTAAGAAACAACCAGACACGTCTGAGGTCAATTTCTTCATAAAAGACGATGTAAAATATACTTAGTTATCCATCCACTGCCTCTGGTTTGAGTCAATTGGTTCAAACAGCCATGGTTAAACAGACAAGGACAAAAAGAAATCAGTACGAATTCAAAGTTTCTGTTCAAAGTGTGCAGAAAACTAATGAACAGAGTTCGTTTCATTAATCCCTCAGAATATTATTTGGGAGATGGATGACATCTGTTACTTAAACCACGGAATGTAAACTGCACAAGAATTATTACGTCATCACAGAAGGCCGGATGTCGCGACCTTGTGCTAAGGCGATGGTTGGATCAGACCACGACCCGACGACCTGCTCTGCTGGCAGTTTCTGTCTGTGGCTCTCCTCAGTTCATCCAGACGAAATACCTGGACAGAACCACACCATTCGATAAACATGTGAACTTATTTTTCATTAATCATCCTATCAGGAAATGGAGACGATTCAATCTTTGAATTTTCACCTGTAAAACTGGACGTAGTCGGAAATGGATTACTAAATCAGTCTTACCAACAGTGAAAAGATTTTTCCATAGTTAAAACAAACTTTTTTAAGACGTGTCAGTTCATTGATCTTCAACATCAGATAAATTCAAACCCGAAATCGTGTGGTAAGTATGGAAAGGAATGTGAAATATGTAAATTTATTAACTTTTCTCTGTTATTTGTTGCTTGAATTTCCGATCACCGTAGGGAAATCGACAATAACAGCTAGCCTAGGGTTGGACAGACTGAGACGTAAACAGCTGAATCGTCCAATGAAATAAAACTACAAAACACCAACAATACACACGCAGTTTCTCTTACTGTTGAGTAAAAAGTGAAAAATAACACATCTGAGGCTCGACTTAGTGTTTACCTCGAATACAAAACAACGCTGAAGTTGTATAATATTTTGTACTGTTGCGCATGGCAACTAGCCGTCTTGTGATGTGTTTCAAATAGTCAGGCGCCCGCCAAGAGGCTAGACCAGGTAAGCTGTCGTGTGGAAGAGTGGGAGGTTAGGAGACGGATGCGAAGCTAATTCAGTGTGCCATGACAACATGGCTGCTATTAGAAATATCCCGTTTCAGAACAGTTTTGGGAAATATGCCAATTTTTGTCATCCAGATTATCTCTTCGTAAAAACAATGTTTTATTGTGCTGTTATAACAGAGTGAGAAACATCCTGATTAAATAGATAGGGATTAAGTACATTTTATAAGTTGTAAGAATGGACAATTGTTTGAAATAACATCTTATCTGTACCAAAATAAGAACCACTAGTGTACGCTCCATTTTGCACATTCTGCATTCAGACACTCGTGCGTACTACAGAGGGAGGTTTTATTTTGCACTGAAATAACAAAGACGTCGTGAATGAGTGGCAAATAAATACTTCCTGGGAGCCTCAAATCTTAAATGAGTGTTTTTTTGAAGAAAAAAAACATAAATATACTAAACTTATATGTAAACATCATTCAAATTAACATCTGAGACATGAAAAGTCACCAACACACGATAAAAGTGGTGAACTTACAATAGTTAAATTAATAAAATAGATCGACACATTAATACAGAATTATGTTTACATCATGGCGTTGTTTACTAAATGTGTCTTGAGTTGAATGAATTATAAATTGATTGATGAGTGGAACGTTAGATAGGCTGTATTAAAGAAAAATTGGATAATAACGTACATTAAACCTAAGCAGTGGAGGAATAATGAACACATTGATAAAAAATTGTATGAAGTTTTCACTTGAAAGGAAGACTGATTAAGCATTAATAAAAGTATAACTAAACTGGCGTCAGTTGGTATCGTGTCTTGTGAAGCGCACTCTACCTACAGCGGGACTCGATATAACTCAACATAGTTATATTCCCCTTACCCCTTCTACTATGTCTGACTTCCCCACCTCTCCAATACGTCATGCAAGGTGGTTTCAAAACTTGGTCCTCTCTTGTTTGCCAGTTCATTACGAGACTTTTGCATAGACGGTGTAAGTAGTAATTGCAACGACGTTGATCGCGGAATGGCGGCAACTCGCTGTCACTTGTTTTTAGTTTGTTTACCATAGAGTGTTTTTCGTGTGTCTCTACGCGTGCTGGTGTCACAGCAGTGTGCTAAGCACGTTCTGGCAATCTTACACTGAGGAATGTTTTTCCAGTAGTGATGACGTATGACTTACGTTCTATAAGTATTTTAGAAGCACACGGGAAGGACGAGAAATAAACATCACCGAGGCTTCGCTAGTAGTTAATTTTCTGCAGCGCTCAACAATCGGTGTACGTGATGACTATGTTTTCCCTCTTCTACGTCATTCGCTTTGAGGAACAAAAGTTATATATGCGTATGAACTCAAAATATTCTGTCATCAGCAGTTTGTGTTAGTTGAATTGTGTAAAACAACTGGATACATTTGAGAAGCTCGATTGTTTTATAACATTGCAAGGAGACTTGAAGTGATTCAACGATGAAAGTTCTAGAACTAAGTCTTTCAAGTGATCTGTGACTGCAGGATATCTGGTTCATTGCAGGAAGTCTGGTTCTAGAACCAGATTTTCTTTTTCAAATTTAAGTGTGAAATGTAAGAGACTTGGTAACTGGATAGTATACTCTTAGGTGCTATCAGTTTCCCTTTTATGTTCACAAACACGCCCATACTCTTTCATTTGTTTTGTATTTTACCTTTCCCCCGCCCATCTTAGTAAAATAGGCAACATATGGCTTTCCGGATAAAATTAACAGCTATAGTGAAAACGACGCAAGTAACAAGTGTAGATGTTTCAGTTATGAATGAAATGCAGCAAACTGGTTGTCTTTCCTGTTAGTTTCTTTTGTGTACAATTTATAAAAGTGAATTGGAAACTCATTTTCTGTATGCATGTGTTATTAATCGAAATGAAAGTCAGCCCATATTGTTATTGCCTACTCTTTGACGAGAAGGGCAGTGGTTTGTGTCTGCGGTTCAGAATGCATCATTGGTGAGAGACGAAGTGGTTTTCCCCACATTTGCAAATTGTGCTTCGTTTGTTTTGTAATAAAAACACATCATAGGCGTTGTTGCCTTCACAAAAGCAATTGGTTATGTTTACCTTGACGTGAACACAGACGATCAAATTCGTGTTGCATGGCAAAACAAGATTCTCGCAGAATTGGAGTGATTCAGTGCATCTCTGAAGGGTTTCGTACTGTGTGATGTGATATGTGAGTGCTTGTGTTTTACCTTCAGCATGAGGTTTCAATTATGGCCGATCAGAATAAAAAGAAGGCTCTGTACTCTTCTGCGGTGGCCTGTTTAGGTTTCATCTGTTTTGCTGTTGGCGCTGCAGCTGTTGGACTACCGACGTGGGGTTACTTCAACAATTCACAAGGTTAGAATACTGTTTTTAACACATTTCTGAAATGTTATTTTTTCAGGTGAAACTCGAAACTGGTGTGACTCTTTTTTTACAATATATTCAGTTGAATGTACTTTGGAGAATCATGTCAAGTAGTTCAGTATTTTGCTTCTATACTGTATCGTTACCAAGTTTAGACTGTGATTATTAATTCATGTTGTATGTTTTCTTCGTAATCTGTGCATATTAGAATTTGTAGACTTTCCTATAGACGCCGTGGACTTTGCTACTACACAGCGAGGTGTTTGTTAAATTTACGTTCTTAAATATCGACCAAGAAATGAACATATGCATCACAGAGGTAGAATCGGTGAATCACTTTGTAACATCTTCATTCTTTGAGTAGTCCCCGCGGAAATTAAGTTGACACGTGTTGCAATGAAAACCACTTACAGACAGACTGTACATCGTGAACTTGCCGCGGCGCTAGTGAAGTAGACTCAACACCTAGCCTCCAAGTAGCTGGATTAAAGGAGTACGCTAAAGATTGAAATTTTAACAATATATTTTTGGAAAGCTTGAAGGAAGATATAGATGTAGATAGGAGGATAATACCAAAACCGCGGCGCTAGTGAAGTTGTAGGCGGGCGCTAAAGATTGACGACGGGGCATATATTGAGTATGGCGGAGATGAAAAATTTTAACAAAATATTTTTGGAAAGCTTGAAGGAAGATCTAGATGTAGATAGGAGGATAATACCAAAATGGATGTTAGGGAAGGTAGTTTGAAGGTTGTGGGTTGGATTCGTCTGGATTAGGATAGTGATTGTTTTCACGCTGTAGTAGCAATCGAAACTTTACACGGGGGTGGTCAAGGTGAGATTTGTGACGACGATGTATTATTTAATTCTGGGAAGTTGATTTAGGAAGAATTATACTGTCATCTTGTGGAGTTTTGAAACAAGTTTCTTAGGAAACCGGATTAAACATGAAAAAAAAATGTTTATTTGTGTTTCCTGGGGTCGGTATTACAGGATGAAAATCAATGAACGTTTCTGTTCTAAATAAAAAAAAGCTATTTTACCCTTAATTGATGAGAAAAAACAATGACGCAGCGGTAATAATCTGAGTTAAGCGTTGCTTTCTGTTTCAGCCTCTTTCGTGATATTTGTGTGGTAAGGAACGTTCGTGTCACAAATAGGGAAGCATTAAGCCAGACAGTGGAGTAGAATAAACAGAGAAAGACACGAAGGAAGGTAATGAAAGCAATTCCGGTGAGGGGGGAACATCAGAGAAGGGAGGTGAGACGAATCAAGAAAGAGGGGTGGTGTGTGTTTTGTTCACCGTTGCGTGGTAACCCTGTGTCGCACGCGTAAATGCAGGGAGATTGTTTTGATGTAGCAGCTCCGTAAACTGGTTGGAATGTTCTAGGCCAACCGTGTTATGCGGGTGAACTATCTAACTGGAGAAAATGTTCGTTGCATCAGACTCCCGTTGTAAAAAAATGTTGGTATACCTGATTTGTTCTTACTAAAACAACTGCGCACAGCTTTGCGCTTTGATAACCTTGAATTTAACAATAATGGAATCCTTTGCTTGCCTCTTATACGTACGTTCTCGATTCGTATCAGTATTTTTATAAGGTATCTAACAACAGAGCTGTGATTAATTTTTGTGTACGTATAAAAACTAACGGATGTGTGAAGCCAGGTTTTCGCTTGTCCGGATGTGACGTTACATCAAGGCTTCTCAACTGATACATTTATGGACCGGGCGATTCTCGACGTATAACTAGAAATTAGACACGGTGATCGGTAGTAACCATTTTCTCTCACTCGTGTTTCATATAATAAGCATGAGAACTAGGCGGATATAAAAGATGTGTGACAGGGATTGAATATGACTGATTGTTCTCAAAGATACGAAAACGTCATTAACGTAAGATAGTGCTGATTTGTTTAATGTGTAACAACTGAAGTAATTTGTATTTTATATGATTGTTCCCAGTTGTGTGTGTTTAGCTTATGGCATCGCATATAGAGGTTTATAATGAAATTAAGAGAAGAATTTATTTTGAAAATGTTTCTGTTTATGATAAAGATTATATTAAAATATTTTTAACCCGTACAATTTCTAAAACGCAGATCAGAATAGGGCCCTAACAAAGTGATTTTACGAGTTGATTGAATTGGTGTGAAACAGGATCTCCTGCCATGGTAGAAAATCATACATTGCCGTTGATATTTCAGATTCTCACGGTAACGAAGGTGATATGCTCACCATCAAATAATTCTGACATAAGTTTTACATTAAAATTCGATATAATCCTTATGAGTTCCCCGTTTTACGCGATTTTATTATACGCGGCGATCAGCATAACGAGAGTCGCCTGTTCAGTAAGATGGAACTATTTTTCCTTTGGCCTTGTAAGCAAAACATTCACGAACTTAGCTCTTAATTCTGCTGTTGACGAAGACCCAAACGTAGAATTTCGTAAACTGTCACTTTGATTTGAACAACAGAGACGTGTTAATCTGTGAAGAGTAGTAACTAAGCAGCTACGTGTTTCGGTCTGTGTAGTTGCGTCTTTTGTGTTGGTTAAGCAAATAAGACAGTAGTGGGGAAGCAGTGACGGAGTTAGAGGAGCGTGCGGTTTCGTCCTCGCTGTACATTGAGTGACAGGTTGCTGGAGGAACGCGTAAACTTTTAGTTCAGTGCAGAGTTAGGCAGAGGCGCTAGTGTAACTTTGCAGATGCTAACAGAGACTTTTGATGCCGATGCTATGAAAAAATAGAGTGTCTCTGAGTGACTTAAAGGTGACGAAAAGGCACGCATGTGACAAGCCCAGGTGAAGACAACGAAATTTTATTATTTTTTTTTGGTCACAAGGGTATTGTTCGTTTTGGGTTTGTTAAACAAGGTAGAACAGTGAACCAGCATTGTCATTTGAAAATATTAGTTCACAACAAGAGACACTATTGAAAAATACCACATACAACAAACATTCAAACAAAATATTTGCTTAAACGACAATAATATTTATCTTAATAACCCTATCTTTAATTCCCTTCAAACACTTAACTCCACCCCCAACAACCTACTTTCACTTACCCCACCTACAAACAACCACGATCAATAACGAACCTATTCAGTTCCAACACAACATTACTTCTAGACGAACCTCCTCAACTCTTCATTTCTGGTATGTTTTTAAAATTAAAATTCCTCAATATATTATTTTGTTTTCTATCTCTAATATTCATTTAGTCTTTATAACAATTATTATTTAATTTACAGACCGATTATAAAAAAACCACTACAAACATTTCACCCACGCAAGATCACGCTATACGCGACATACATTTACGAAACAACATTGAATGTGATAACAAAGTACAATTGATCTAGAAGAGGATAACTGATATTTAATGGACATCTGACGAAGGATTGCATTTAGAATATTACATTTGAATTTATATCGATTATACACCTGAAGATGGTTCATTGAAAACCGAAACATGTCGTGAAAAAGATGATGCTCTAATTGTAAATCGAACATTTCGATAGAAAGAGCATCATTTTAATATATTTTAAATATTTTAAATATTAAATGTTAATTGTAGTAATAATATTTTAATATTTAATAAAATATTTTATTGTGATTAGACGGTTAAAATTAAACAATTATATTAGAAGGGTTACGTGAGGTAGTTCGACGAAGAAGGCATGAAATTTGGCTTGATACTTGGATCTTGCATCATGACATGATAACTGTACGGGAGTTTTTGGGCCAAGAAAATCGATTTTAAAATTGGACCATCCACCATGTGATTGGCTATTTCCAAAAGTGAAGATAACATTCAGGGATATGCGACTATCATCCTGAAGAGGAGGTCCAGAAATGTTTTGAGCAGTGCATTAAGACTGCTTCAAAAGTCACAGCAACCATTAGTGTTGAAGTAATTAATTACTGGTCATTCCGGGAACTTACTTGTCACACCCCGCGTACACTGAATTTATTGATCAGTAATACAAAGTCAAATTCATCTGTGCTGTTCCCCCATAAATCAGTTTTGGATAAAATTTGAACCATTAGAGAAAAATAAATAACGTTTAAATTTACGTACATTTTGGAACGTATATGCATTATGTGGCAGTTCGATCGTCTTTTGTTGTTAAGCTTTAATAAGGAGATAAGGTAATAAATATTACGTCGAAAAGATATGCTTGTGTTTCTGTGAGTGATAAACTGATGGTAACACTAGCAAGGATTACATAATTTAATAAGGATTTCGACAGTTAGTTGCGGTTCACGCCGCCAGGACTCCATAACCTATAAAACGTACGGCTATAACAGAAAAATGTCCAATTTTCCAATAATTTTTTTTTCCTCCGATAGTGAAGAATTGAAAGCATCCAACATATCGATATACATTTTTTTACACATTTTGTGGAGGGCGGGGGCGGTGTCTGTCCGTCCATCTGTCCGCTTCAATGCGCATCTTATATCTGAATCTATCGAAACGTCGACTGATTTAATATTCTTCTTGTGGTCCCTCCTTTTCAACTACGATACAAACTTACAGAATATACATAAAAGGATTTATCATATAAAAATTTGCATTAAATATTCAATTTTTTTACATCGTGCAGTGATAACACGAAATAAATAAATTCATTACTTAGTGTGAGATTTACTTTTTGAATTAGGCGAAGGTTTCTCAGCATCTGGGTACTTCAACCCACTTCTGGTTGCCAGGTTCTGCAGCCTCGTGAAAAGTGTGAGTACATTTTATCGTAGAGGATGGTTCCAACTGTTTCTCGTCAGTATACAGCGGATTTGTTGTAAAAATAAGCGACCTCCATACAAAAAAGGATTGTTAGTTTCAGTTACAAACATTTGTTTAGGTTAGGTATGAACTCAGTGAAACGCGGTATCGTTGAGGCCTTGAAGTAGTGGTTAGTCGACTGCGCAGCGGCTTCTGCGCAGAAACCTATGCGCAGAGATTTCTGCACAGAAACTTTATGCTAGC